CATCATTAACCCATGACAAGGAGATGGGAGTTGAAGGGAGTTGAAAAAAACCCCTTCAATTTAGCAAGCCTGATTTATTCCATTATTGCACTCCACTGTTTCAAGTCCCCTACTTGCTTCACATGCTTGTAGCTTGGCTGATACAATCACAGCACACCAGAGATGCTAACATATTTGCAAGGTTGCAATCTATTGCAAGGTTACACTAGGACAGCTCAAGAGGTATGAGAACTCAGGTTGATAAAGGTTTCACTTTTCCTATGAACAGAGGTTTTAGTTGGAATTGACCCTTAGTGGAAAAATGAGGCCACAACAAGACTTTAAAAAGTACCTGGCACTGCAAGGCTTCCTGGAAATCCAGGGGCTGAAAGGCATTTGGGAGAGTGCCCATCTCTCTCTACGTGAGAATAAACAAGCTCCTTCAGAGTTCCAGTTATCTCTGATTATTCACCTTTAATGAGTCCTTCCAGATCTCTCCTTTCCTTACAGTTCATTGCTTACAACCTTATGGTATCAACTTTTGGATACCAGGGTTTCCTCTAATGACAAGCCTATGCTCCTTCTGAAGACACACACTCTCCCCGTCAATGCAATCCTTGCCGTACTCTCCATTTGATGCCTCACAGCTTCCACTTGCAGAAGTGCCCACCATTCTATATGCCGTCATAGAATCATGGAATGGTTTGGGTTGGAAGGACCTTCAAGATCATGTAGTTGCAACCCCCCCTGCATGGGCAGGGATACCTCCCACCAGCCCAGGTTGCTCCAAGCCCCATCCAACCTGCCCTTCAACACTGCCAGGGATGGGGCAGCCACAGCTTCTCTGGGCAACCTGGGCCAGGCTCTCACCAGCCTCACACTAAAGAATTTCCTCCTCATGTCCAAGCTAAATCTCCCCTCTTCCAGCTTAAAACCATTTCTCCCTTGTCCTCTCACTGCCTGCCCTTGTCCCAACTCTCCCCAGCTTTCCTGGAGCCCCTTCAGGCACTGGAAGGTGCTCTAAGGTCTCCCTGGAGCCTTCTCTTGTCCAGGCTGAACACCCCAACTCTCCCAGCCTGTCCTTATAGCAGAGCTGCTCCAGCCCTTGGATCACCTTTGTGGCCTCCTCTGGACTCTCTCCAGGAATTCCTTGTCCTTCCCCTAAGCATGGGCTGCCTAGGCTGGAAGACTGAGGTGCCCATTAGGACCAAATCTCTGGGTCTAAGCATTAATCTGGTTGAATGCTGCATGTTCAGATTATCTTTCAAGGTCACTTCCAACCCCTAAGATTCTGTGATTTTCTGTGAACTGGACTACACTTCTCATTCTGCCTCTGCTTCAGCGCCACTGTGTGACTTTGGGCTTTCTTGGTTTCTCTATCTCTAGAAGAAGGCAAGTCACATTAAGTCTCCCTGTATAAAACATCCTGAGACCTACAGAAGACAAACTGTACTGAGAGCCAGGCACTATTATGATGAGAGCTCTGGTGTGTTGAGCTGGCACTGGCAGGAGACACAAAAGCTAAATAAATCCAAGGGCAAGGGAAGCAGACAGAGCAACAAAGCACAGAAATTAAACAAAAGAAGGTGAAGATTATCTAGTGAAAAACCAGAGTACAGCAGTGGGGCACTTCTCCTGTGGTCTAAGTATGCATGGAAGGATAACACTATTTTGAAGCAGTTCTACACATCCAATTATCCATTCTTAGTCTTTGTGTTTTTAGAGGCCTGGAGTTTTGGTGAGTCCAAATTGCTGCTCCTACCTAACTCCCCACATGAGAAAGACTTTTTTTATGGTTTGGCTTCTAAATGTACTGACTGACTGCAGCTCTACAGCTCAAGTAGGCAAGGAGATCCTCTATCATCTTATGAGAGCAGCCAGGATTATCCTTTCTCCAGCTGGGAAAACCAACCAGTACGAAATGAAAAGCACAAGAAAGCTTGGATGCAGACCTGTGGGACAGGGAAATGAACTAATATTTATCTAACTGCCTCTGCAGTACTTCAAAAAGGAAGATGAAAACAGGGTTATAGCATCATGAAGATATAACTGAGGCTCAGGAATCAACACCGTACTATGCCTGTTACACTGCAATGCTGCTGAGCAAGCAGCAATTGTGATCCATCTGTCAGGGTGCCCTTTGCTGTCTCAGGATCGTTGCTACAGAGTCTATCACATTCTGCTCCCTGTGATTTTTCTGTACAGGGAGTTACAGTGCCCCTCTAACTAGTGTTCATCCCATCTCTTAGGCAAAGAGCAGCTGGTATCTTGGGATTAATATAAGACAAACATTCAAATTCTGTCATTGCAATTCCTAAGAAACCAGTCACCTTGGCTTTCCAGAGAGTAACAGAAGCTGAGAGTGTATGGATGTTTGAGTGAGAGACCTATGAGATGGGCTGTGCTTGGGAAGAACAGGTTATGGTATGAATGCAGGGTCATATGTTGCCATTTCTTTGCCCCTTGCTGTTTGAGTTGTCAGTAGCATCTCTTTCTAAAATACTGTGTGCAGCCTTTTTTCCCAGTTAAAAGTATTTTATTTATTATTTTTAAAGCCTGGTTGATGAGTGATATGAACTGCCAGGGAAAACTACATTTCACTCCCCTTCATTAACATTGCAAATTAATTTAGGACTCATTTAGATGCAGGATTAACAACCTGAGGACTAATCCACTCTTTATTCAGAGGACATATTCAGGATGAGCAGTCTTTTGTCTTGTATCACTCAATTAGTTAGCAGCACTATCCCTTGGGAATAAGATGATATTTCTGATACCTTTGCTTGCAAAGGAACTGCTCAAGGTCAAGGCAGAGGTCTGGGAGACATCACTCCTGGTTCCAGCTCTACTATAGGCTTCTTCTGCAGCCTTGGTCAAACACTTTCACCTTCTGCATCCATTTTCCCCAATTAACACATTTAGAGAGGTCAGACCAGGATTAAAAATAGTGTTAATGGTGGTTTAGGGCAGCATCTTTTATTTCACCAGGACTAAGGGTACCTGGGCCAGCTGCCAACACAGAAACTTGTTAAGCTGCAGTTACACAGTCAATAAGTTTTCAGCTGTGTGTCCCTGCCCTTACTTAGGTGAAATGGCATTTTGTGAGCACCCTTTTCCTCTCATGCACTGTGATTAATACATTATCTATATTGCAGGGGCAATGTCAAGCCCTATGTTTTCAGATCAGAAAAAAAAAAAACAAACACCCAAGAGAAAATGTTGCTTTTCTTAAAGCAACAGTTTTCAATTCCAAAACTCTTGACCCAGTCAGCAGCAATCCTGCAATATCTCAGTGATGCTGTTTCAGAGGCCCTGTGTGTTTGCTAGATAAATAAATAACATCTCTTGCAATTAACAAATGAAATGTCCCATTGGAGCTAAGCTCTTACTTGCTGTCAGTAAATCATCTGCAGAAGGATTTCATCTGCTGAGGGGAATGAAGATTAAATATATGCTTTGAAAGTGTCTTCTTCCAACAGAACATTTTCTTGAAGGCACTTAGTGTCTAATGATACATTGAGGACCTGTTCTTCTGAGTACAATAAATAAATACAAATAATTGCTGCAGGACAGAGCCTGATGGACAACCAGTGCCACTCTGGGCATAACTGATTGATGCTACTTATAATCAGTGACACTTGTGAAGCTCAGGCCTTCTGATCTGGACATGTGCTGCACACATCAGCTTAGCTGAACTCTGCTGTCCCACAACAACAGCATTTTTACAGCCTTAATACAAACTGTTACTAATTGTTTGTATCACAGCATTACCAAGAAGCTGTAACCACAGCTGAGGACCTTGTGGTACCACGGGTTGCAGAAATTTAAGAGGAGATGCTGCAGTGGTTCACACAGTTTGAAAACAAAGGCAAAGTGATGGAGCTCCAGAACGTTCTCATCCCCAAGTATGATCATAAAGAATGAATTATTTTATACACTTTATTCGTTGGCTACAGTTTCACTGTCAAGGTCCTGAGGGGCAGTTGGTATCCACTGTGATAGCATAAGAAAAAAAAAACATGGAAAAAATGTCTTTCTGGCATACTATTTCTAATCCTACTTGGATTCTCATTTTTTTCAGAAATACAATTGTACCAGTGTGGTTCCCTCAGACAGGTGACAGTGACAAGACAACCACACCACCACAAATCTATAAGTCCAACTAATAATTTGGTAGGAAGTTTCCAAACCAGACTGTTTCTGTCCTTAAAGTACTGTGTTTGCTCTCTGGCTATTCTTTTCAACTCTTCATAAAGATCAAAGGTGCTGTCATAACTACATGAGACTGCTACTCAAGGTCATCAAATCCAGCCTGTTGACAAAGACACTCATTTAAACAACCTGAGGACTAGAGGCCAGAAAAGCTGGGTTTGTCCTGGGGTTGTACAGCTCTGCAAATGCCTCCAACATTAAAATGGCTGCTACATTAAAAGGACATTACGATTGCAAGAATCCTTCTTCCTAACATCCAAGGAGAGAAGTGTCTGAACTATCAGCACCCAAATCACAGGGGTATTCTTAATCCACAAGCTCCCATGAATGCAATGATTAGTAGCCTTTCCTGCAGTTTTCATCCTCAGGTACTTGTCCTGATGAGTTTTATATTTTCATGCCACACTGCTCCCAAGTCCTGTGCATTCAGCAGCTTCTCCACACAAAGGGCATCATACATCACACTTATTACCAAGCTACAGAGAGTTAAGAGAAGTGAGAACAACAGGATCCTGCTGTTGGTTTATAATGAGTTTTCTGATCTAGGGGAAGTAGTTGTCTCCTTTTTGAATTTAATTGTTATAAATAATGTCACTAGATGCGTTTGCTTTTGGCCCATTTTGCATTCAATATACACACCGTGATCTCCAGCAAATCAAAACCAAAACACCCTCATGTTCACTCATCTTCCTGGTAAGGGTATATACCTCACAGTCTACAGGTCCAAGGGCCATAACTGAAGAAATCTGAGAGCACTCTTCTGAGAAGAGAAAGGTTACAAAAACCAGTGAGAAAGCAAACCCTCTTACCTGTCTGTAATAAGCCAGCTCCACTGTCTTTGACTCCAAAGTGCTGCTGGATGTCTAGTAACACACCTGCAAGGAAAACAGAGAAGAAACTCAGTGCCTTCAGTCTCTGACAACAGAAACCTTTTGTGAAGCACCAGCAAAACTTCAAATTCCAGTAGTTCAGACACATAACTTCTAACGGTTGCACATTGGCTTCTTTTCTACACGTGCACACTCCATAATTTTGGGCTACTACAATAACAGCAAAGGTAGGTAGATATAACATCTTGAGAAGAGTTTAGGAACTAAATCCTCATGCATGAGAAATTGTTTTTCCTTTCTACTTCAAGAAGAACAGGGATGTTGTTGTTTTTTGTTTTCTGCAGAATCCAGATCCCTTCAGTGACTTTGCAGAAATACAGGGAAACTGTGTCTTAGGTGCTTCAAATGGTTCAACAAGACAGACTGAATGCAAGACAAGTTTTGACAAATCTCTTGTTGGGAGGAGATATGACACACTGATAGGAGCTATGATGGAAGTTTTCATATTTCACTACTTCTGGGGGGTTTTCATCTCCAAAACAAATGTAGAAAATATATTTTAAATTAGTAAAGGTGGGTAAGTGACCAAATGCTTAGCCTTAAAGCAAGTACAAGCAGAAAGCAAAACCAACATTCTCTCTTCCCTGAACCCTCAATGTATTAATTGGCATGAGCAAAATTAAAGGTTTTTTAGTATTTACATATTCAGCTGCATTTAGCACTCGAGTATCAAAGATACAAATACTTGTAATGGATTTGTAGCCAACAGGGAAACCCCACAAGGGAGATTTTTAGTTCCTTTTGGGGCACACACACTTGACAAGCTGTAGATGGTCTAGTTGTGTCAGAGATCCACAAGCTTTAATGTTTGTCTGTGGCCTAAACAAGCTGGAGCAGACACATTTGCTCTCTTTAATACCTGGGACTTCCTTTTTCAGACTACTGTCTTCCCCAAAACTGAGGATATGCAAGTTTGCTTTTTTTTAAAAAAAAAAACAACGAGAAACATCATTCTCAAACTATACTGAACTTCTAGAAATGTTCACCTCCAGTTCAAAATTTGATCCAAGGCTTTGTCCAAAGTGATACTGCTCATCACTGCAGGTCATGAGAATCAACCAAGCACCAATCTGAACTCATTCCTCATTAATATCTTAGCTTTTGGAACTGCCAGGACCACACTAAATGACAAGCACAAAGAGATAAAAGACACTGAGATAACTATTCCCAGAAGACATCTGGGACAATGCCAAGAAAACAGACATAAATTAAAGGTACTAAAGGAAATAAAAAGATACAGAAAAGGAAGAAAAATCAAGGAAGCTCATTTATCCTATTCTGTATTACTTGTACACCACCATTTACTTGAGGCAGCATTCAGACTGGCTTTAGACTACCAGTAGCTGCCCAGTAACATTACTTCAACCTCCTACAACAATCTTCCCCTTCCTCCATCACCCTGCAAGGTGTAACAACACTCCCCAGCCATGCCAGAAGGCCAGAAAGTCACACTAACCACCAAAAGTTACATGGAGCAGGAGCTTGGGATGTGATAGCCTCAGAAAGAAGGTACTTTTAGGATTTGCATCAGAAACCAGAACAGCAACTGCAAGGGATTATAATGGTGCCTACATGGTAAAGCTAAGGAGGTCTTCCAGTTCATCACAACAAAAATCATCTGTCTACTAATAATGGCTTTACAGTTCTATGGTGCTTTTTTTCCACAAGAGATCATAGTGTGTTTTACAGGCTTGAATGACTGTGGCCACAAATGAAACACGTTCAGGACACAGAAATTCAGTCACCTTGGATTAAGCCTAGAACTCTATTCTGGTGGTGGAAAGGGAAGTGGGTTCTGTGGATAGTCAATGACCAGGACAATATAGACCCACAATTATAAGCTTGAAAGAAGGTCTCAGATGATTAAGGGAGATCTGCATGTCTAATTAGCATGGATTTTCTACTCCAAGTCTATTTTGAACTAAAGTGTTTTGGTATGGGATTTAGAGCATTAAATTAGAGACAGCAGCAAGCAGATGATGCAACACATGTATGAAGTGATAGGAGTTTTCCTGCTCAGCATGCTCACATGGGAAGACATTCCTCTCCTGCTCAGGTCCATTTCAACCTCACCCTGGCAATGACTCACCCCAAACTTCAATAAGATTTAGGGATACAGTTAAGCAATGATAGACCAGGGGAGAATACAGGAAAATTATAGAGCTTTTGACTTTCCCTTCTGCTTCTAGACAATGGGAAGGCAGATATCACTGGAGCCAAGCTCCAGACGAGGATCATTTGCTTGTAGAAATGTGCTCCCAGGTGTCTCAACACCTGATACAATCGAAGAAAGGGAAGCCACCACATGGGGCTGACAAGGTCTTTCTTGGATTAAAGTTCATCCCTATGTCCCAGAAGGACCTCAAAATAGCCATGAGCAGACTACAGGCACCAATCTTCCTGAGACAGCCCCTCAGCAGGACTGGTGGCCGTTTGGGATGTCCTTATGATTACATGGTGCATGTTGGTGCTCTCAGCTATCATTTCTTGAGTACACTGGGCATTCTCAGGACTGAACAAAGACACCAGAGCCATGGTGCCAAGCTTCCAGAGTACCTCACCAGCTGAACCAGACACTATTAATGCTGATGTAGAGCTTGGAACTCGATGTAATGAAACCCAGGCAGCACCTAGGCAAGGAGTGCTGATCAAGATGGGCACAGAGACAGGACTTACTGGGAAACCCTGTCAGAGGAATGACTAGTTACTGCAGCCCTATCTATGTTCCTAGTGCCTAAGTACCTGACAAAGACACCAAGGCAGTTACTGGATTTTTGTGGGCATTGGGCATGAAAAGGACCTTTAGGAGCAATTTGAGGGACAAAAGGTCTTTGGGCGTGGAGTGTTAGATAGGGAGGGAATATCAAGTAAATAGGGAAGAGGAACGTGGCTGACCTCATCCAGCCCCAGTGTCAGAGGGTTTCTAGGAACTAGGGCAGGATCCAGCACACTCTTACCTCCTGTTCTTTAATGGTCACTTCACAAATGGGATATAGAAGACCTGATTCTGAGGCTTCCGGAATGCAGAACCACATTTAATGGCCTAAGTTACCCCTGACTTAGGGGAACTGCCTCAGGAAAGGCAAATTTTCCTGGAAGTGCATGGCTCAGGCTTCAAACAGTGGCACATTTCAGTAAGTGATGCTGACCATGCACGAGGCAAGCTGCTTGCCTAGATACACTTTGTGCTCCTGACCTGAGCTATAACAAAACAGAAGCTGCAAAACTGGAAGGTCATCTGATACAGGGTAAAAAGATACTCTGGATAGAAGGTCATCTTAGTACAGATGTTTTTTGTGGTAACCATCATCTACACAGCTAGTCCCTAGGAGATCTAGTGTGCAGAGTGCATTGGTTGTCCTCTGTATTTAAAAGAAATGTGGGCTCTTCACCTAATCATTGTTAGCTCTATGTATCAATAAAGAGTCACCTTGATAAGAAACAGCATTCATAAGCTAAGGCACAGTGAAATCACAATTTCAAAGCAGAAAGACATTAGAGCTCCCCTGGGAGAGCCCCACTTTCCACTCACCAAAACAACAAAAAATACAATTTGATTCAAACTGCTTCCAAGGCAGGTGCAAAGTGCAGATCTAGCCTGTGCACCAAGCACAAAGCTACCAAAACAAAGCCACAGGTTCTCAGCTCACCCAGCCTTGCATCAAAATGACAATACACAATCTTTAAACACTGCCTGTGTGCTGCAATACTTTGGCCAACATCACTATTTACTTTAAAAACATATTTTTTTTAAAGAGTACCTTTTAATGGGGAAATACTATGGTTCTTGGAAGGATCCAGCCCATAACTCTCCACAGGATGCAGGCTGGGCACTGACCACAATCCTGTGTGCCCCCAGCACCCTCTCTCCTGCCCCACTGGACTTGCACCTCTCTTTGGGGAAGCCTCAAAGAAGGTGGAGGAGAACCCAGTTTCACACGCTCTCCTGGCTCCCAAAGACCCAGAGCAGACTTTACTGAAAACTCTTTTGCCTCCATTACCTGCTGCTGCCTCCCTCTTCTGCTTATGAAGGCATTCTCCTTCCCAGGCTATGCTCCCTGGTTCTTCCAGGACCAGCTCCCTCAGATGGAGGTAACTAAGCAGGGATAGCCAAGCCCTGGCCTCCTAGCCAAGGCACAAGCCACCTTCCTACCACCAGGCTCCCCCTCATGCCTGCAGCCATATTCAACCTGCTTCAAATACTGCATCAAGGAGACACAGGAGTGGTGTACACACCTGTCTGTTCACAGACCTGTGAAACCATTAGGTGGAGAGAAGTTTATTCTGAGGTCTCTGTGATTACATCTTCACTGCAACCCCAAGGTGTGACTGCAGTTCACACACAGATCCCAAAGCTTCAAACAAGCTGGCTTTGGCTCAGCCACCCACTACCTATTAAACACCATCCTCACAACTTGGACCCTATTTAAATACTCACCTGCAGAAAACCACCATGCTGATATTTGTACCTCAAGATAAACTCCCACTGCTACCAGAACTAGCAATTCTAGGACTAGAGTACAGTACCACCTACTTTGGATTGCCATGAAAGCATTCCCTGTCTTACACATAATAAGCAGCAGCCTGCTCTATGAGTACTGCTAAATGAGAGGTGACATTGTGCTTGAAAACATTGACAGGAGCTTCCCTAGGACAAACACACAGACCTCTTTTCTGCAAAAAAAAAATTCCACTGCTGCACAACATGACAATACACATGGGTGAAGAATAGTCTTTGGGTTTGATTACAAAGAAACACAAGAAAAACAGCAGCTAGACAAATCAAAACAAAGGTTTCCTAAGATCTGCTCAGACTGGCAGATGAGAAACTTGTGACCTAGAAAGCATTGAAAAGAAACTGCCCAGACCCCCAGCAGCACGACTGGAAAGGGGCTTCCTTGGGTAATAAAGGGGAGTGCTGTGAAGACGCAAATCCAGCACTGCAGCTCAAGCCAGGGATCAGAACAAGCCAGGGCCTCTGTGCCCAGCACTGCAGTCATTCACTGGTCACAAAACAGCTGTTTAAAAACCTGCTAAAAACACCCCAGAGTGGGTAAGTGTGAGAGTTCAAAGCCTTCACAGACACTGAGAGCCTCCCACTACCTGCAGGTGCAGAAAGGTGGTGGGGTCTCAGTGTTTGAACTGGAGTCCAAGCCCATAAGGACACACAGCTGTGGCTCTGGCACTCCCAGGGGTTTGCTGTTTGCCCTCAGCAGCATGGTCAGTGGGCTTTCATCAGGATGGGTGCTGGACACCCTGCTAAGGACACTGCTGTTTAGGAAATGAAATAAAACCTTCTGTCTGCTTTGTGGTGACATTGTAATTCTAAATAAAAACCCTCCTTGGTGACTTGCACCACCTCTCACACCCCCTCTTTCCATTCAATATTTTTATCATTATTATATATCATTATATATCAGTGGGGAAGTGTCTGAGCTATCTATCCATTCCCAAAGGCTCTTGGCTTACTTGTGTGCCATGCAACAAGTAATTAAGCATTAGGAAAAAAATAAGAAATTCAATTAACCAAGTGTTTGGAGAAGGAGATATATTAAAAACAACAACTCCCTCTCTCTCTGGCAGGGATTGGTAAGAATAAACGGTGGCTCCTCTAACACAGCTCATGTGGTATGCTAAGTCTTAGCACAAAATTGCCTGCAAGAGTGGGAGGAGATAAAAAAAGATCATCAGGTGTAGAATCGATTAGCACAGGTGTCATGAACACAAGGGGTCAGGGCGTCTAGGGAAGGCAGCAGAGGGCAGCTAGTCCTGCTCAGCTTTAAAAAATAAAAATATAACCAAAACAAACAGGAATTTGAATGCAACTATGGCTGCCAAATGGGTGCCTCACTGTCAACGCCACACCCTCATCACATCCTTCATCTCCTTAATTACAGGGTAAGCCTGTTCCCAGGACTATGGCAGGGAAGGAAGCCTTTGTCTAATGGGGAGCATGGGATACTTGGCCAACATGAGCCCAAGAGCTTAAATAAATTCCAAAACATGGAAGAACTGCCATTCACAAAGCAATGCAACAACAGCTCTCACCAGCAAAACTGCAAAATGACACGGGTGAAATCTGAGGCTGTGGTCACTGTGTCACTTCACCCTCCTTTCCACCCCCACCATACAGCTCCCAACAAAGAGATCCTCAATTTCACCCATCTCAGCTCTTGGAGACTCCTGCCTTGCTAAGCCTTGCAATTCCCAACAAGGCAAGGAAATACTTCCATTAGAGTTAAATGATGTCATTTGGCTAAAAGGACAGGCTAAAATGGATTGGCACCTACACCTGAAAATAAACTTAGTCACTGAGATTGTGAAAGATTCCTTCGTGTGGAATAGTAAAAATCAGAAGCTGTTACAACTTCCAGCAACAAGCAGAAACATAAGTAGTAGCTAAGGTTTGTAAAAGGACACAAACCATTTAAAGCTTGCCAGATCTTTCTCCCAAACCCAGCATCTCTACTGCAGGGCTCAAATCAGACCCTCCTTATAGGTTTCTAACTGACAAAAAAGCCAGGAATGGTTTACACTGCAACACCTCTGCTCCAACACTGAACCAAACCTGAACCAAACGGCCTGTACCAAGGGAAAAGGCTATTGTTGTGACATGTCAGATCTAATCAGCAGCCTTCACAGATTTTCAGACCAAACAGCAGAGCTTCAAAAATAAGAACATTCTCATTTCACTTATTAAAATCTTAGAAAATGCAAAGGCTCTCCCCGTTCATGCTCTCCTTCTGCATGCTATGGCAGGAAAAAGGGAGCCACCAAAAGCTCCAGCTGTCTCCTGCTTTCTAATCTTTACAGAAGACTAACAAGTCTAGCTAATTCATGCCATGAAACATATCTCAGAGACTTTGTATATGAACTAATTAAAATAAATAAGAGCAGTATAGATAATGATAGAGCAAATCAAGTGCATATGTATTCAGCCAGTGACTCACCACTGCCTTATTTTCCTTATTGGAAAACTTGGCATATCAGAGTGATGATGAGTCAGGAAACTGGCACGAAGCCACAAATTAAAATCAGACCTACAAAATCTCTTTTTTTGAGAGACATTTTGGAGTTTTTTACTGGCTTTGTACGGATGTGGCTGTGGTCTTCACAGCTCTATTCTTATGGTTTTCTGGCTAGACAAAATCAACAAAGGAGTAATTTACAAGCTCTTCTAGAGACAATATAGAATGATTGGGCTCTTGTTTTCAGAATCAATTTGATACATTTACTTTTCCATCATCTTGCTTACATTTTAACCAACTAGATTTGGAGCATACTGCCATACCCTATGGAATGCTCAGTATCTCATGAGGCTGGCATTGCTCAATTGGAACCAGCCAAAGCAGATGCAAATATTTTAACAGCACTAAACTGACAACTAATGGCGTGTGTGACATGAGGATAACAGTTCTCAACCTAATTCTGTGCAACCATAACCTCTAGCCGGTCACTTTGTTGCCTGACTCATTCACACAGGCCAGGAGAACTTGCACTGTTATCTTCTCATACAGCCCCAGTTGGATTTGAGA